ATGCCGGTCCATGGGCGCATCGACTGGATTCGCAGGCAGATTGATGCGGGTCGGCTGGCTCATGTGTGCATCAGCCAGGCGCGCGACCCGGCCAAGCTCAAATATAAGTTCATGTTGCATGCTTCTGGCGCAGACGCTATATCTAATCCATTTCGTGCTCATATCAATCAGCAGTTGGATTTCCTTCGTCGCCTATTTCAATCGCACGCTGTCGTTGATAGAGGGCATAAGCATTCTTCGGGAGTTACTGAAATCTGCTTTTGGTTGCGTCCGTTTTCTGGTCCGGCTCTTGCAGGAGCCCATCATGAAAGTAATGATGTTGGTTGCCAGCTCCATGGTACCCCAAATATCGTTGACGTCCTGGCGCGCTTGGAGGCCAAGCTTGATGCAACCTCGGCCCTGCTGGGCATAAGCGATGGGCGGAAGGCTGCTTGTGGGAAAGAAGTTATGGCTGGAAGTGCGCATGCAGCATTTCGAACGGAAAGGTGTCATGTGGTGCCCGGCCTGAGCTTAGATATGCTGGAACAGCGTAGCGAGCCGTATGCTGACGACGAGAGCATCAGTGCTAGCGGTGTCTCTTCTCCGGTGCCTGCTGCCACAACGATGGGCCAGCAAAACATCTGGGACGATTACGAGTCTGAGCAGCAGCGCTGTCAGGCAACAGTTTCTTTCGAAGTGCTGTCCAGAGCAGTACCAGAATTCCCTACTCGTTCCCTTGTCGGCTCACAGTACTACGCGGAGTCTTGGGGAAGAGGCGTATCAGGAACAGACTGGGCCATTGCGACGCAGGGGATGGGATATTCCGCTGTGGAGCCGATTCCTTTTCCAGAAGTGCTGGCTTATTTCTTACCCAAATTCGTCACTCGTGTAAAGGGGCTGGGATTCGTCACTTGCCATCATCTTGCAGGCTCTTGGAAAATACAAGTATCCTGGGCCCCGACATGATCGCAGAGTGAGCTTTCGACTGCGCCCTGTATAGTTTAGTGTTGCAGTCACTGAAGAGTTTGGCATGCTGGACTCGGCTTGAGATGCCTCGTCGCCTCGCCGGGCTCGGCTCGTGTTCTTTGGACAGGGGGGACCCTTAGCCCACGCTCCCCCCCTGAGGGCCCTCCTCCTCTTCTTCTCTCTTCCTCCTTTGCGTCCCCTCTCTTGGGGGGGGGTGCCTGGGCTTGGTGGTTGCCCTCTCTGTGTGGCTCTGGGGTTGGGGGAACCTCGTCGCCGCCGTCTCCATCCCGCTACATCTCGCCAAGTTCCTTGTCGGGGCTTCGACCATCCGCCCTAATGCCACGAACGAACGAACGAGGAGGAGGAGGAGGAGGAGGATGAGGGGAAGGGGAGGAGGATGAGGACGAGAACCCCCTCGCGACGCCCTCCGTGCTTTCTCGAAGGCTGCCGGGGGAGTCGGATCTGGTGGGGGGGCCCCCAGGTCCCCCCCGGGACACCCCGGAACCCTATCGGGTCCGGCCCCCCTCCCCCCCCCGCACCGGGCAAGGGAAAAGGGAAGGGACTTCCCTTCGAAGTATTGACAATCAATTGCTTGGCACGGCATGTGCAAGAAAGAGAGCGGGAGAACGGCGAGTGGAAGCTGGATGCGGCTAGAGAAAGCCGAGCAGGAAAGAAAGAACGACGCGAACGGAGAAGCCTCTCACACACGCCGACAGGGTCGGCGGATTTTTCCGGTCCCGGCCTGGTTTTCAGAGTTCGGCCCTCGGGGGCCGTTGATCGCGCCCCCGGACCAGCACAGAATGGGACCGGGAGGAAGAATTGCGCCCGGGGCGGGTGGATGTGAGGGGAGGGTGGGCGGAGAAGGGACGCTCCGAGATTTGGGCGTTGCGTTTTTCCTTCCTTGGGCGTCTTCGCCTCGGTTTCGGGCCCCGCGGCCCTCACATCTAGATCCAGCAGAAAGAGGGGGTCCAGAGCTCCCGTCGTGATTTCAATTTTTACTCAACGTCGGATTTCAGGGAATGGCGAGCGAGGGAGGGAGGGTTGGCGGGAGGATGAGGCAGAGGAGGATAGTCTCGGCTGTCGTTTAGGACGCGGGTCAAGTGTTAACACTATCGCGCCCTAGCAAGAACACTTCGTATGTAATCAAGTGAAATGCATGATCTCCATGGCAAATACCAAACACTCTCCTCCCTAACAAACTACTGCCGAAGACCACACACGTATCCTCTCCTCTTCTCAAAGATGGCATGCAATGTGTGTGTGTGTGTCTGTGTGCGTACATTTCCGACGCACCATCAGAGAATACTGAAGTATCTTCCACACACATCATGCTACTCTGCGTGGTGCACACTGTTTGACATGCCATATTCAATATTTACAACTACATTCTGCTACATCTCGTGGCACGCGCCGCTCACCGAATCGCATATGCTCCCATGCTCCGTGAGTCCTTCACGCCACATGCCAAGTGCACAGCAACACGCACGTTTGGCCGTGATACTTACAATTGCCATCCCCGCAGTGCTTTCCCTCTCTTGCATCTTTCCCCCGCCTCCCTCCCGAGGGCGCCCGCCCCTCGACTGTGAAGCACAGAGCCGAGGTTACAACAAGTGCGTGCACGCTCGGAAATCGGCATGAATCAGGGAGCAACATATTGCGGGGAAAGGTGGGGCTGGAGAAAGAGGAAGAGGAGGAGGAGTAGTAGGAGGAGGAGGAGGAGGAGGAGGAGGACGAAGAGGGGGGAGAGGGAGGGAGTGTATGGCGATCGATCTCAACGATCACAATGTTAACAGTGGCCAAGCCAGTGAAGCTCACTGGACCTCTCGAGGATCCACCGCCTACGCCACCTGGTCTGGCTCTCATCGCGGTTGGACGGGCCTGGGGCGGGGGGGAGGGAAGTAGCGGCGGGCCCGAGAATGACGTTCAGGCGTTCGCTGCGGGGCGGGCGGGCGCGGCGCTCTCCGCTCTCGCCCTCTCCGTCCTCTCTCCTATCTCCCTCCTCTGTCTGCCCCAGATATACGACCCTGGCAACAAACCTCTCGCACGACGGGCCAAACTCTGGGCCCCCTGCACGATTCACCTGTCCTGAGCATGGCGTAGCCAGGTCCACAAAGTGATCGCAGCATGAGGATGGAGTGACGCCCTCCGCGCACTGCCCTTTGACACAGGATTGATCCGTGAAGTGCATTTCCTTCTCGGCGAGAACCATCAAAGTGATGGGCGCTGTAAGCGCCACAACAGAGGCACCAGAGCATGTCAAGGTCAGGGCGAAACGCGGCCTGGTGTGAGGAAGGAACAAACCTGTTCCTGATACAGACCGAGGCGAAGGGCTTAAAGATGGTCCCCGTCCACTTCGTCTTATGGCTCTGAGTCTCGAGAAACTGCCTCGCCTGGTGGGCCTCTGCCTTGCAGCCACAGGCCGAGCACTGCGCCAAACCACCACACAGGATGAGGCACGAATGCTGGGTCCTGCCCGCCGCCCGAACAAGTTTCTGACTCGCAGTCATCCTCACACGGACAGCTCGAGGCCTGGAGGGCTGGGGTACCTCTTTCTCGATTGCATCGGACATGGAACATGGACATGACAGCCAAGAGATGCTCCTGATACCGCCAAGCCATGGCGTCAGCAAGTTTCTCAGAGGCCCACGCCCGGTAGGGCACCTTAACTTCCGAAGGAGAGTGACCCGCGACATGATCTGCAGTCGACTTCGCCGCAAAGAGTCCTGGCACAATAGTTTGCGATGCGAAGGGATCTGCATTGCCACCAGGTCTCTTTCCTGGGCCAAGGAAGCCACTATTCCACAAGCCCAGGTGCGAAACACTCGAAGAAACACGTCACGCCTGAATCCCGGCAAAAGCGCAGGGGCTTCCCTGGGCCTGACTGCCGCTGATCGGACTGTTGGCGTGGGGACGCGGCGTGCCGCAGAAACGACATTGCCGTCCAAGGTTCCTTTGGGAGCATGCGCGCTGACCAGGCGTTGGCCACTGCGGTCCGTGAAGCGCCCGCGAACGAGCCCGTGGAAGACCAGGCCTGTCCCCCACCGTCCCCTGCTGCAGGACGCCGTGCGTGTCTGTGCGGCGGGGGGCGGGACCAGCAGCGCATCGCTCCTCGCGGTGTAGGTAGATTGCAGCGCGACCGTCTGGCCCGATGGGCACGTTCGCGGAGGTGGGTGGTTGGGGGGGGGGGAGGGGGGGGGAGAGGACGCAGAGGAGGGGGAGAGGAATGAGGTAGGGAGGAGTCCTCGGGCGGAGAGGATGGGCAGGGCAGGCGCGGCGATGGGGGCGGAGGGAGAGCGAGCGAGCGCCCCTCCTTGGCCCGACCTGGCCAAGAAGCCCCACGGCGCACGTCCGCATCCCTCCTCCCCGTCCCTCCCCGCCCCTCTCGGTCCCTCCCTCCTCCCTCCCCTTCCTCCTCCAGATTGGGCGGGCGGGGGTGCGAGGGATGGACAGTGAGGTGGGCAAGGTGGGAGGGGCGGGGAGGGAGGGGTAGATAGAGAGACCGAGAGAGAGAGAGAGAGAGAGAGAGAAAAAAAAAAGAGGGGCGGGCCCTCCTGACGCCAGGCCAGTCGCCGTGAGGGCGGCATGCCTCGCGAGTGCGTGCGCGCGTCCGTGGCGGGCCCTGACCCGCTGTGGCCGCGCCCTGGGGTGCGAGAGAGAACAGAAGAGAAGAGAGGAGAGAGTGCAGGAGAGAGGGCAGAAGAGAGAAGAGAGTGAAGAAGAGAGAGAGAGAGAGAGAACAGAAAAGCAGGGAGGAGAGAGTGCAGGAGAGATGGCAGGGGAGGGAGGGAGCGAGGGAGAGACAGAGAGGGAGGCAGGGCGCAGGAAAGTCGGGGGCGGCACAGGCGGGGAAGCGGGCGCAGCGGCCCCCCCGGCCCGCGGACCTCGGCCAAGGTCCGGCACGCTGCTCTTCGGCGTCTCGCCGTGGCGGTCGCGGGGGGCGCCGCTCTCCCACGAGGGCTCTGGCCTTCCTCGGCGCCCCCCCCTCCTCCTCCCCCTCCTCCTCCCCCTCCTCCTCCTCCCCCTCTCCTCCTCCTCCCCCTTCTTCTCCTCCTCCCCCTCCTCCTCCTCCTCCTCCCCCTCTCCTCCTCCTCCTCCTCCTCCTCCTCCTCCTCCTCCTCCTCCTCCTCCCCCTCCTCCTCCTCTCTTCCTCTCCTTCCTCCCCCCCTCCTGCCCCTTCTCCTCTCCTCCTCCTCCCCCTCCTCCCCCCTCCTCTCCTCCTTTTCTCGTCGTCTCCTCCTCCTCCTCCTCTTCCTCCTCCTCCTCCTCCTCCTCCTCCTCCTCCTCCTCCGTGTCCCTTCCTCCTCCCTGTATCCCGCGCCCCTCCCCGCCCTCATGCGTCTCCGCCTCCTCCCTGCGGTCGTCCCCTCCCCACGACCGGCGTTGCTGTCTTCGGAGGCTGGCTCCCTCCCCGGCTTGCCAGGTATCTTTGGAAGGGGATAGGACGAGGACAAATCCGTTCCAGCGCGCCAGAACGCTCCCAGAGCGTTTCGCGCCCGAGACATCCTCCAGAGCCGCCGTATCTCAGAGATTCCTTATTCGTCCGATGTTCTCCTCGTGCTGGCTTCGTCTTACACTTCTGGTACCGCAAGTCTTGGCGCCTGATGTCAGCACTTGAGAGGTATACCTCCCAGGTCAAGCCGTGGCACGTGCCAGCCGTGCCGCTGTGGCTCACCCTGCTGGTGCCTCCTGGTAAAGCCTGTCCCCCCCCCCTCCCGCGCAAGGTAGCCTCAAACAGGTCGCAATGTCATGCGATCTGGGAATGCTCCTTGGGACAGTCCGCGGACCAGCATGGCTCGTCGATGCTCTTGAGCTGTAGTCTTAGAGTGCCAACTCTTTCCCAACTTACGTTATCAGTCGCGCGCTCTTGCGGCTCTGACCTGTGTCAGCCAGCGCTGGTCAGTCGGCCGTCGGGACAAAGGCCGGATTGTTTTAGATGTTATTGCGCATTGCTCTGATGACCAGCTCCTGGCCATCCGCCCTGGGCTATCCGGACATGCGGACCCATACATCGTAGTGTTCCTCCTCTCTCGCTTTCTCCTTCCGTCCTCCTCCTCCTCCTCCTCCTCCTCCTTCTCCTTCTTATTTCATTGGTAGCATTGGTATAAGTAGTGTTGTTATTTTTATTTCCGCTGTTGCTGCTGTTGTTGTTGTTGTTGTTGTTGTTGTTGTTGTTGTTGTTGTTGTTGTTGTTGTCGTCGTCGTCGTCGTCGTCGTCGTCGTCGTCGTCGTCGTCGTCGTCGTTGTTGTTGTTGTTGTTGTTGAACATGATTAATTCTAAAGAATAATTATTGTTGGGCCCCCTGGTGCGCGCCCCCCCTGCGCCGCCTAGGCCGCAGCTACATTTTCATCATTTTCGTGAGGAAGCCTCAGGTAATTCGAGTTGATCAAGATCCGGTTGTTTTGTTCCCCCCCGCTTTCCCTTGCAAAAAACACTATAAAATGACATTTCTTGTTCTAATATAATCAAATTTCAAGAATCCCTTGCAAAAAATAAGGTAAAGTGGACATTCGCGCGCGCAAGACGAAATCCTTCCAAAAGCTTAGTGTTCGGAGCGATTTTAACATAAAAACATCAAAAAACCAATGGTTTTTCAACAAAAAAATGTCAAAATCTCATCCCGCGCGCTCTTGCGGATTCGTAGGAAAACCAACACTTTTTAAACATTTCTGTCAAACGGGCTTTTGCGAGCAACTTTTTCGAACTTCTGCGACAACGGTTGCGCACCTGCCAGGGCCATCATCCCTGTCAAATAATACCATGCGGGACACATTCGTTTTTTCTTCGCGCGCGCACGCCGAAATCTCCAAAAACCATTGGGTTCTTAAGTTCTGTGGGTGTGTACCCCACGCCAGTGTAGTAGCCACGGTCGTCCGCACGCCACGAAGTGAAGTGTCCCAACGTCATAGGGCGGGAAGCTGGGTTTGGGTGGTCGCGAAGAGTCGTTTGGATATTTGGTAGAGCTTGTAATGCCCCCCCACGAAGTGGGGGTATTGCCTGGTGTCGTATGAAAACCCTGGCACTGGGGAGAACACCACGCGTTCGGGTAAAATGATTGTTGTTGTTGTTGTTGTTGTTGTTGTTGTTGTTGTTGTTGTTGTTGCTGATGTCATTAAAACCAGTTGTATTCAGTCGTACTATAATCATAATATGTATGACTGTTTTTGTTATTAATAGTCTTGTTAGTAGTAGTATTATCAGTAGTACTCTTGCTATAACGTTTAGTATTGTACTTATTCTTCTTCGCGTCGGCCTGTGCGAGTCTGGTGGGATCCCTCCAATCAGTTGGGAAGCTCGCAGATTTCATACTCGGGGGTCTTCTGGGCGGGAACAATCCAATGTGCACCCATACCGGCCCTGGACAGTTCGGAGATCCCCTATGACTGCCCCCTGCGCAGCCATCGAGCACGGTCCCCCGCGCCCTCCCCGCGCGCGCGCGCCTCGCCAGGTCTGAGAGTGGAGAGATCGCTGGCGTGGTGGGCACTTTCGAGGATCCGACCATGGTGAACTGGTCGCTGAAGGCTTGGAGCCCGGTCGGTGTCTGGGGTGGTCCAGCACTGGTTCCAGCCGGCAGGAAAGGGAGGGCGAGTTTCGAGGTGCTGGGTTCGGTCAGTTTTCTTGTTCTTTGTTTGTTTTGTTTTTTCCTTTTTCGGCCTCTGGGGGCCGTTTTCGGGCCCGGGATCGTCAAAAACGGATCTGAGGTGAAGCATTGCACCAGATGGACACAGGGAGGGTGCCGGGGACCGATTTTGAGCAGATTTGGCCTCGTCCCTCCTCTTGACAGATTTTCTCGGGGCCTATCCAGTTCAGACCCCCCGGTCGCCTCCAACCGAGGGCAGCCCTCCCCATCTCATCATCGACGCGCCTCGCTTCTCCCCCTCCCTGGTCCCACCCTTGCAGGCGAGGGCTCGGGGGGCCCCAAACGGGGTGGTGACCACACCGTGTGGTGAGTCGGTGGGGATTCGGGGTCACCGCACAGCTTCGGGACTCGGGTCGTTCTCCGAGCACGTCTCGGGCGGCTGGGGCATCCGAGGTCGCAAGACCGTGCGTGGACGGACCGTGCGGTGAGGTCTTGGGGGATTTCGAGGTCACCGCACTGTCCTCAGAGCCCCGAATCATCAGGGGTAGCTCGGGTCAGGGCTAACTCGGGTTCGCTCTTCGGGACTCCAAACCCGAGTTACCCCGGACCCGAGTCACCCCGGATAACTCGGGCGCCCAATGTCCGTCACCGCACCGCTTCGGGACTCCAGAGGAGGGCGGGGGTGCCATCAATGGGGCGCGCTGCCCCTGCCCTCCGGTGCCCGCCACACAAGGTTCCCGGGAGCCTTGGGCGGCGACGCTGCAATCCGCCTTTCCTGCATTTTTGGACCGCGAGGGGGCCGCAGCTGGCCCATGCTCCTGCTCCTCCTCTGCCCTCCTGCCCCCCCTCCCCCTCCTCGTTCTCCAGGTCCCCGCCGGTCCAGTCCAGATCTGGTCCGAATCCGGTCCAAAGTTGTTCCAGATCCGGTCCAAATCAGGCCCAAATTGGACAGCGCTGGGGGCCACGCAGACTCCCATGGAACGGACACCAAATACTCATGCACCCTACAATGGGATTGCTCCTCGGCCTCAGGGGAGGATACACCGGGAGCCAGCGACTTTCTACACCGCCGCCCGCACAATTCGTCGGAGGGTGTCTGCGTGTATAGTTTCGTGGCGTGGGCCCAGGCCTCCTAGATGGGGTCGGAGTAGATGAGGTCGGAGGATCGCGCCGCATCGGCGATGCATCGGCGATGCGGCTCGATGTGGAGCCCGATTTTCTCCACGCCGATGGCGCCGATGCCTCGCCACCGTCGCCGATGCATCGCCGATGCGGCGCGATCCTCCGACCGACCCCGTCCTCCTCGGATCCCACCCGGGATCTGGGAGGGCCTCTGCCCCCAGGGGCGCCAAGACGGCCCTGCCTCGCGCACCGCGGCCGGGGTCGGAGAGGCGCCCTTCTCCTGGGCGGCGGCGCGATCCTCCGACCGACCCCGTCCTCCTCGGATCCCATCCGGGATCTGGGAGGGCCTCGGCCCCCGGGGCGCCAAGACGGCCCTGCCTCGCGCACCGCGGCCGGGGTCGGAGAGAGGCGCCCTGCCCCTGGGCGGCGGCGCGAGGGCGCGAAGACAGCCGCGCGTCGCGCCTCGCAGGGCGCGAGGGCGCGAAGGCAGCGACTCGACTTCTTGACTCGACTCGACTCCATGACTCGACTCGACGCGAAGATAAGCCGCTGACTCGACTTTCTGACTGACTGTCTTCTCGGCTGACATATGGCTCTCGATCTTCAAAGCTTGCAACCCTCAACCTCCGTTCTCGCTTCACAGGCGCAACCCTCAATCGTTATGATACGCTTCCGAAGGCGTACTTTTGTGGCCAGCCTGTGAACTTTCGCCCGCATCGCATACGCGGAGTCTGCCACATACAAAGTTCATGCACGCGGTAAAGTAATGCTTAGCAATTGGAGAAGCGCCATCGTCTCCTCTGTTCACTGTTTGCACTGGCCCTGGCATGTCCCCTCCTTGCAAGGGACCCAGCCCCAAATCACCCACGTCGTACCTGTCTTAGAGTATTCCCCCCCCTCCTCGTCGTGATTCTTCTGATCCTCCTCATGCCCTGGAGCCTCCTCGAGCCGAAATAGTATTATTACTAAGATTGAGAAGGCTATTGATAAGGAGACGAACGAGCACAGTACTAAACATATTTTTAATACTAGCAATGAGGATCCGACGATTGTTAATACTAAGAGGAAGAGTCAGACTAACAATGATGCTAATAAGAACACTACCAGTACAACTAATAGTTACTAATAGCCATACTAGTACGATCAACTACATGAAAAGGTAGTAAGCGTACTCGTAATACTACTAATAAGAAAAATACTACTACTACTAATAATAATAATAATAAGAAGAAGACTAATCATAACGATAAGCCAGGCTGCTGCGGGGGGAGCCAGCATCGAATCGTGCCATGTGTGAATCCAGCCATGTGTGTTTAGCAAGGCTTCGGGTTGCGCACAGACCGCCCCCCCCCACC